GGGGGGGGGGGGAGGTCTAATCGAAGATAAAACTATTAAACGAGCAATCGACAAAGATAAGAATAATATTCGATGTCAATGATAATTTTTTTTTTTGAAAATTTTTTTGAAAATTTTGTTTCCCCTCAACAGAATCCAAGAGCCTCGTAGCTCCGCGGGATCTCTGAGGTGCTCATCTTGATACGGGGAACACCATCGGAGCAGACGTAGCTGATTGATTTTTAAACGATTTCAAGATGCGACCTCAGATCCGATGGGATCGCCGAGAAGGAGACACTTGTTTGCTCGTATCTCCGCTTGGAGATATGCAAATCGTTGGTTCCTGATGCAGAGTCCCGCGAGCGGCCAGACAAACGGACCAGTCAGCGAAGCTAAGCTACGGGCTGAGGAACATAATGGCGTGGTTATCAGATAAGCTTATAGGACGGGGTTAATCGTAATGGCATCGCAGTGGTGTTCCTCTGCTGGCTCTTCGAGGAGAAGGAGGAGAGGGAGGAGGCGGGACGGTGCATTTAAGAGAGGAGGATAGAATATGGCTGAGGATGAGAAAGGAGGAGCTATGAAAGCAATGCTAAGTAAACTGCGGCGAAGATCCTGCAGTCTTAGGGATCAAGAGAATCGAGGGAATCGATGGAATTGAGGGAAACTGTAGAGAGAGAGAGAGAGAGAGAGAGAGAGAGAGAGAGAGAGAGAGAGAGAGAGTGCCAGCATCCTTGGCGCCTGGTCCCGTCAGCACGTCATTGTTTCTCGGTAATTAATATTTTAATTGAGATCACCGAGAATTAATTAACGCACTGCCACGATCAAGAAGCCCTCCCCTTCCTACGTCACGGGTTTGCCTAATCGTCCGAACGCGCTACAGGACGTTTCAGTGACTTTCGGAATCTCCAGACCCCTCTTCTCCCATTTGCCCAGCGAGTATAATACTGAAGTTGCACTGGGTGTCTCGTTTATAGAGCGACACCTCCGCCCTTACGTAATGGAAACTCTGCAGACTCCAGTACCAGAGTTCAGACTCCAACCTAGGATCAGGCTAGACGCTCGAAACTTTTAAACTTTCCTACGGAACAACCGTACACAGGAGAAAGGACAAGGCGAATTTTCAAGTAGTCTCCCGAACCGGCACCCGGTTTAACCTAAGCGCGTCGCAATTGTCTGGCTGAGATTTGCCCCATTAGAATATTCCTAGGTGAAATGAAGAGGAGCCAGCAAGAAGAGACAATTAGGAGCACGTATGTCTGGAGTTGTCAGTCGAGGCGTGGCAGGAAATCAGGTATGTAGTTAAACGGGAGATTGGGTTCTTGCGACAAGGCTGACGTCCAAAGGTCGACGGGGTCGAGAGTTCGCTGGATGAGCAACGTGACGGGGTCCGTCGATGAGGATGAGTATGCTGAGTAAAAATGGCGAATGACAGTTCCCTTGGTAATTGTTATAGCTGGCCGTCGTGGCGTACCAAGTCACGGGGTGCACGATCGTCGGGGGTTTGGACTAGGGTGAAGAACAAGACCACGGAGTGGATGTAGGTAGACCCCTCCCCGGACCCCGAGCCGCGACTTGCGCGGGGAAGGAAGCGTTATAATAAGCGGGCGTACGCGAGCCTCCAGGGGGCATATAAATATATTCGGTTGCTCTATTCGAGAACAGGGGGTGGGTGGGAGCCAGAGGGGCAGGAGGGCGAAGAGGTGGAAGAGGGCTGGGGTCTGTGAAGGAGAATGGGTCGGGATGGAATATCGGGTGAATGGGGGGGAGGGAGGGGGGAGGACGAGAGGCAAAACATGTTGCGGCACGAGCTGCCTCGAGAGCTCCGGAATTAGCTTTATTATAACCTGGGGGCCATCCATACATACCTAACAGCGTAGGAACATCAGCCGGCCAATAAGCTCAATGCTAACAAAACATTTTGGCGGCCGAGCGACCAGACCCGAGGTCCTGGACATTGCCGATAAAAGGATTCCACGGGTCGCGGAACGATCGCGCGAAATGAACCGGTTTTTCTTGGAAACCCGAGCGAGAGATACCCTGGCACTTTGCAGGGCTGATATCCGTCCAGGTGAAAAGGGGTACAGCAGAGGTATCCGTGTACGGCCTGACCTGGACAAAATATTCTCCTTAGGTGGTACACTGTATAGGTGCTCATGGCGGTTCACCGTTGTGATAAATGTGCTGGACATAGCCAACCCGATACACAGGTACCTACTTAGCGGAGCAGCTATTCGGAACGCGTGCAAGATCAGCTTGCAGAATGATCTTCGAGTATCAACTCGTACAGAGGCAGTGTTTACCGTTGTTTAAGAGGAAGCCAGTGGGCCCGCAGGATGATGGGTCCGTTACGTGGAACCAGCCAAGCCTATGTATATGGGACCCGGTTATTAGCTCGAAGACAGGAATGAGCCACCCTAGGTGGAGAAGCGTGCGCTCGGGGCTCCGGATGAGTAAGGTCTTGCGATGGGACGAAGGACCAGGTGGGGGGGAGAGGGTGGACGAGTCGAGGGTTCGATCCCCGCGATCTGCGGATAACGTTGCTCTGATTTATTCCCCTAATGGGCGTTCGCGCATTCATTTCGTACGGGCCGGCAATTCCACGCGGCTCCGTCGTGGGCTAGGCCCGGACTCTGCCGGTGCCGTCGGGGGGTACCGACGGTGCTGGCGCTGCGCTGGTACTGACAGGAAAACTCTCGGCGGTGATTCAGCGTTCGGTTCGGCGACGCCTCCCGTGCGACGCCATAATGCCCCACCTAGGTACTGGGTGCCCGCGTCGCGACGCGTCATTATCATTAGCGATTCGAAGTTTCGTCGGCGTTACGGGATGATATGTTCCTGGGACGATCCGGTGCTTGAACGTTATAGGATTTCAAATCCCTCGTCTCCGCCGCGACCCTCCCCGCCCGCCGTTCGCGTGTACGTTAAACATCGACTGGACCCGACCGCGTCCTCGATAATTTACGGTTCCCGCGGTCCTCTCTGCCAGCTTTTCTGTTCTCTGTGTAATACACACGATTCGGTACGGGACGCACGATAAATTTCTACCGGATGTGGATATACGTACGGGCCACTGGATATACGTTTAT